GAGAGGGAGAGAGGGAGAGAGGGAGAGGGAAAGAGAGAGAGAGAGTGCACATGTGCGTGTACATGTATAAATAATAATTATTGCTTATCGGATGGCATGTGTTGTTGTGTGTAGGTGCACGGCGTACAATTGACATCATGGATGTGTCCTCACAACAAGGCTCCACCATGAGCATGGCAAACTTTGCAAAGTAAGCCTTTGAGTGCAAGTCTCGGTGGCATGGTGTCTTTTGGGTGTTTTCTTAGTTTCGAAGAGACGTGGAGCTACATTGTGTGTGTGTTTTGTGTTTTGTGTGTGTGTGTGTCTGTGTGTGTGTGTGTGTGTGTGTGTGTGCGTGCGCGTGTGTGTGTGTGTGTGTGCGCGTGCGCGTGTGCGTGTGTTTGGCGCACGCCGTGTACTCTCTCTTGTGCAGGTACTACACGAATGCGAAACGTGACAAACTCTACAACGTCATTAGCCTGGAGTTCACCAAGACTAAGTTGGAGCCTCTAGTGGAGTCACCCAGTTTGGTATGTCAGCAATCCTACACATACTTGAGAGGATCAAAAGCGTTTCTGCTGTAACTCTGAGTTTCACGGTTTTAACCGATCATCAGACAGCAACCTGACTACAATTTTCAGAAGATATGATTGATATAGGCTGCAATCAATCAATCTTATGCATGTAACGCTACATGTAGTGCACTCTTAATTGTTCTATCCGGGCGATCTGGGACCGGGGGCTCTGCCCTTCACTTGGAAATGTTCGTAATCACGTACATTTTGATGAGGAAGGCACGTAGATCTGGCATATTACGTCACTATTTCCACGAATTGGTAGAAAAGTAGTAATATTTCCACTAAAACTCACCCACACAGGGTGCCCAGAAGCCCAAGGTTCCCGTAACTTTGAGGTCCGGAAAAGAGATATGAGTGCACTGTAGTTGAACACTCCACTGCACTACTCATATCTCCCCTGTGTGCTGTGTTTAAGGGGGGGGGGGGGGGGGGGGGTGTTTGAGGCTCATGTCATACATGATCATGCTTAGACTCAGTTTGAGAAAGTATGGATTTTTAACTCCTGATTGGTTTGTGCAATGTGTTGTTGGTTTATCAATGACCTTCGTAACCGTGTACAAATTACTCCTTTGTCTTTTCTTTCTACTTCTTGCTTGCTGCTGCTGCTGCTGTCATTGTTGTTGTTGTTGCTGCTGCTGCTGCTGCTGCTGTCGTCGTCGCCGTTGTTGTTGTTGCACGCAGGTACGTCAGTTGGATTGGGTGGACTTGGTGTGGCCGGAAACATTGCGCGCTTTGCAGCAGGAGGCCACCAACCGACTGGTCGACATGAAATATCCCAAAGTGCAAAAGTAGGTGTTTTGTTTGTTCTTGTTGATGGTGCTGCTGCTGCCGGTGCTGTTGATGGTGCTCCAGGTCTGGCTGCCCTACTGCTGTTGCTGTTGCTGGCTGCCCTACTGCTGGTGTTTGTGCTGGCGCTGCTGTTGCTGGTCTAATGTTGTTGCTGACTTACTGATGGTGTGTGCGGCTGTTGCTGTTGCTGGTCTACCGCTGTTGCTTGTTGTGATGCTCTGTGCTGTTCCAGGTACTGCCTGATGAGCGTCGGTGGCTGCTACACAGATTTCCACATCGACTTTGGTGGCACGTCCGTCTGGTATCACATTCTCAAGGGTGGAAAGGTCAGCATTCCCCGGTGTGTGTGTGTGTGTGTGTGTGTGTGTGTGTGTGTGTGTCTGCAGTCGCTGTGTGTTTGTTTGTAGTCACTGTGTGTTTGTCTGCATGCCCGTCTGTTTTTGTGTCCGACACAAACAAACAGTAGATAGATGTACGATTGGCGTAAAGACAGACATGCATCTCTTTGTGTCTTCGTCTGTCGGTCTGTCTTTCTGTCTGTTTATCTGTCTGTCTCCCTCTCTGTCTGTCTGTCTGTCTGTCTGTCTATCTGACTGTCTGTCTGTCTGTTTCTCTACCCATCATCCATCCGTACATGTATTTGTATTTACCTCTCTGTCTGTCCATCTGACTGACAAGATCCTTATAATCACGAATGTGTCCTGTAGCAGAACCTGAGAAGGAAGTGGATTGAGGGCTCAAACAGTTAGTCCGATTAACCGGTTTAAGACCGGTTTTGGAAAGATAAAGGTTAACCCTTTGTGTAAAGGTTACACGGGTACTTTTTCGAGTTTTCGAAGTACGCATTTTACCGAGCTTCTCATTCCACTTGTCAGTCAGGTAGACAGACAGAGAGGTAAATATACATACATGTACGGATCAGATAAACAGACAGAAAGACAGACCGACAGACGAAGACACAAAGAGATGCATGTCTGTCGTTACGCCAATCGTCCATCTATCTACTGTTTGTTTGTGATCGTTGCGCTTACCTTCCCCTCTTTGGTCTCTCCATAACCTTGAACCTTCCGAGTCGGAAGGCTGTCGGTTAGCGCGAAGGAGATGTGTTGAAGCTAGGTGTCAGGACTGTTCACAATGCGGCCGTCTGTGTGCGT